TTAGAAAACAGAAACTGCCTGGAAACACCTGCAAACACCTGGAATATTAAAATGTGACATTATATATTAATACATATTCTTGCTGTACCTCAGTACAATGATAATAAAGCTTATTGTGATTCTCAAAACTGGTAGATGATCCATTTTAAACTGTCCATCCATCCATCCTCTGGGTCTGGACTCAAGTCTCGGTGCAGCCTCAGACCAGTGAGGTCAAGATCGCTCTCTCTCTACTAAGCCACTTCTTCCAGCTTTTCTGGGAGGACTCCAAGGTGTTCCCTAACCAGCTGAGAGACATAGACTCTCCAAAGTGTCATGGGTCTTCCCTGGGGTCTCCTCTCAGTTGGACATGTACAGAACACCTCCCTCAGGAGGCATCAGGGATACATCCTGACCAGATGTCTGAACCTCAAAAAAAAAAAAAGAAACTGTCCTGATGACCTGACTGAAAATTGTTGGATTGTATACCTGGATTATTGAGCATGGACTTTGTTGGTTTTGAACCAGTTTGACATGACTGTCGACAAGGAAGAGGGCCAGCACCGGAGGAGGGGGCGTGCTAAAAAGACCATCTTAGCATCAACATAACTGGTTTGTTCCGCTTTGGAGTAAGCTGTTGGGGGAAGAATCAGTTTTGTGTTGTGTGTATCCTTGTCTGATGAAGCCTTCCGGATGCAAGGTGAAACATTTCAGCACCAAAAAAAAAAATATCCAGATGACCCGAGTGAAAAGTGTTGGATTGTATACCTGGATTATTGAGCATGGACTTTGTTGGTTTTGAACCAGTTTGACATGACTGTCGACGAGGAAGAGGGCCGGAACTGGAGGAGGGGGCATGCAAAACAGACCATCTTACCATCAACATAACTGGTTTGTTCCACATTAGAGTAAGCTGTTGGTGAAAAAAATCAGCTTTGCGTTGTGTGCATCCTTGACTGATGAAGCCTTCTGTATAGAAGAGGAAATGTTTCAGCACACACAAAAAAAAAAAAAAAACCTGTCAGGATGACCTGACTAAAAATTGTTGGATTGTATACCTGGAATATTAAGCATGAACGTTGTTGGTTTTGAACCAGTTTGACGTGACTGTCGATGAGAAAAAAGGCTGGCACCGGAGGAGGGGGCGTGCCAAAGAAACCATCTTAGAGTCAACATAAATGGTTCGTTCCACTTGGGAAAAGGCTGTTGGGGGAAGAATCAGTTTTGTGTTGTGTGTATCCTTGACTGATGAAGCCTTCTGGATGCAAAGTGAAACGTTTCAGCACAGAAAAAAAAGAAACAGTCCAGATGACCTGACTGAAAATTGTTGGATTGTCTAACTGGACTATAGAGCATGGAATTTGTTGGCTTTGAACCAGTTTGACATGAGTGTTTTTGAGGAAGAGGGCCGGTACCAGAAGAGGGGTGTGCCAAAAAGACCATCTTTGCATCAACATAACTGGTTTGTTCCACTTTGGAGTAAGCTGTTTGGGGAAGAATCAGTTTTGTGTTGTGTGTATCCATGACAGATGAAGCTTTCTGGATGCAAGGTGAAATGTTTCAGCACAAACAAACAAACAAACAAAAAAAAAACTGTCCAGATGACCTGACTGAAAATTGTTGGATTGTATACCTGGATTTTTGAGCATGGACTTTGTTGGTTTTGAACCAGTTTGACATGAGTGTCGACGAGGAAGAGGGCCAGCACCGGAGGATGGGGCGTGCCAAAGAGACCATCTTAGCATCAACATAACTGGTTTGTTTCACTTTTGAGTAAGATGTTAGGGGAAGAATCAGTTTTGTGTTGTGTATATCCTTGACTGATGAAGCCTTCTGGATGGACGGTGAAACGTTTCAGCACACACAAAAAAAAGAAATTCTCTAGTAATAATTGTTGGATTGTATACCTGGATTATTGAGCATGGAATTTGATGGTTTTGAGTCAGTTTGACTGGACTGTCGACGAGGAAGAGGGCCGGCACAGGAGGATGGGGCGTGCCAAAGATACTATCTTAGCATCAACATAACTGGTTTGTTTCACTTTTGAGTATGCTGTTAGTGGAAGAATTAATTTAGTCTTGTGTGTATGACTGATTTTGACTGATGAAGCCTTCTGGATGCAAGGTGAAATGTTTCAGCACAGAAAAAAAGAAACTGTCCAGATGACCTGCCTGAAAATTGTTGGATTTTATACATGGATTATTGAGCATGGACTTTGTTGGTTTTGAACCAGTATGACATGAGAGTTTTTGAGGAAGATGGCTGGCACCGGAGGAGGGGGCATGCCAAAGAGACCATCTATGCATCAACATAACTGGTTTGTTCCACTTTGGAGTAAGCTGTTGGGGGAAGAATCAGTTTTGTGTTGTGTATATCCTTGATTGATGAAGCCTTCTGGATGGAATGAGAAATGTTTCAGCGCACACACAAAAAAGAAATTCTCTAGTTGATCTGACTGAAAATTGTTGGATTGTATACCTGGATTATTGAGAATGGACTTTGATAGTTTTGAGTCAGTTTGACTTGACTGTCGACGAAAAGAGAGCTGGCACAGGAGGATGGGGCGTGCCAAAGAGACCATCTTAGCATCAACATAACTGGTTTGTTTCACTTAGGAAAAGGTTGTTGGGGAAAAAATCAGTTTTGTGTTGTGTGTATCCTTGACTGATGAAGCCTTCTGGATGCAAGGTGAAATGTTTCAGCACAAAAAAAACTGTCCAGATGACCTGACTGAAAACTGTTGGATTGTATACCTGGATTATTGAGCATAGACTTTGTTGGCTTTGAACCAGTTTGACATGACTGTCTACGAGGAAGAGGGCCGGCACCAGAGGATGGGGCGTGCCAAAGAGACCATCTTAGCATCAACATAACTGTTTTGTTCCACCTTGGAGTAAGCTGTTGGGGGAAGAATTAGTTTTGTGTTGTGTGTATCCTTGACAGATGAAACCTTCTGGATGCAAGGTGAAACATTTCAGCACAGAAAAAAAAAGAAATTGTCCAGGTGACCTGACTGAAAATTGTTGGATTGTATACCTGGATTATTGAGCATGGACTTTGTTGGTTTTGAACTAGTTTGACATGAGTGTCGACGAGGAAGAGGGCCGACACCGGAGGAGGGGGCATGCCAAAGAGACCATCTATGCATCAACATAACTGGTTTGTTCCACCTTGGAGTAAGCTGTTGGGGGAAGAATTAGTTTTGTGCTGTGTGTATCCTTTACTGACGAAGCCTTCTAGATGCAAGGTGAAACGTTTCAGCACAGAAAAAAAAAGAAACTGTCCAGATTACCTGACTAAAAATTGTTGGGATTGCATACTTGGATTATTGAGCATGGACTTTGTTACCTACAGTTACCTTCGTACAGACTAACATGTAATACTTGCTGTTTATAACTTCTATGTTGGTTGCTGGCCTCTATCATCTTTTACATTTTTCCAAACTCAGTTTAGTTTTTCAAATGGAATAAACTGTATTTCAACCTCTAAACTATACATGACTATTCATGCTGCTGATCTCATGCTGCTGATATGTTTTATGTTGCTGTGTTCATTTGCACTCATATGCTCACACAGACTCATGTTTGTGCTGCTGTTGCTCAGTGTATTGTTTTTGTACTATTAGTGCTTAGTGTATTCTTAGTTTAGCGTATTTCTTAGTTCATCTCTTAGATCTTCTAAAAAAGTTCAATCTGGTCCTCTGGACATTCAAAAAAACAAAAAACAAAACAAAGCAAAAAAATCTAGATACGTTTCGTCTTTCATCCGAAAGACTTCCTCAGTCTCAGTCCTCAGACTGAGGAAGTCTTTCGGATGAAAGACGAAACGTATCTAGAATTTTTTTTGCTTTGTTTTGTTTTTTTGGTTTTTTTTAATGTCCAGAGGACCAGATTGAACTTTTTTAGATTTTTCTTCCTGGATTATTGAGCATGCATCAGGATATCTTAGATCTTATTACTGTTTTTCTTTACAATTTATACTTTTGTTGGATGTAACTGGGACCCTGTGTACACAATTTTGTTGTGCCACATGTACCACATGTGGTGCGATTGACAAAGAAACTTTGACTTTTGACTTTGACTAAACGCTCAAGATAACATGTGTCTGAATTACATGTCATAATTTCCCATCTATTCATTTTCACTAATTGACTATTTACATGTAACAACAAATATGTTCTTAATCTCAACAGGACTTTACCTGGTAAAATAAAGGTTAAATAAAATAATATAATACAAGGATTTTAATATTCAGATAATTTATTAGTGGGACTTTATGAAGGGTACACAAAATCTGAATTCCTGGACATTTCAGAATTAAACTTTTTTTTTTTTCAGATCCTATGCGTTAACCAAATTCTAAAATGTGCAATATCCTTTGTAAAAACTAAAAACATTGTTCTATTAAGTTTTGGCCTACTTAACTAACCTCATTAAGCTAGCTGTGCTGACAGGCTGCAGAGTATTCACTTTTCACTACACAAGTGTTTTTGTCTTATCCAACAAAGTTAAGTCAGGTCCTCTGGACAGTTTCTACTTCCAGAAACCATCCAGAGGATCTGATTTAACTTTGTTGGATTTTTCTACATGAACTATTGAGCATGAATCAGGATGTTTCTGTTTTACCTGCTCCATTACAAACAAACGTTAATTTATTGCACTTTGCTGCATCAGCGCCAGTGCTTTTCTCTTTTTCATCCTTTCTACCTGCTCCACCTTTTTCTTTGTCTCTCTCACTCCATCCTACATTCTTTAAGACCCAAACCGGAGAAACGTAGGGGCAGGCGTGCAATCTGTGTGTCTCTGCTCTGCTCAGTCAGCCTCAGTGAGACCTGAGTGAGCCCGGCGCAAAAGCGGCTTGTTTATTCAAAATAATCAAGCGCGACCCGAAACGAGCATTTAGTCCAGTCCCTCAGCGGGCACTGAACAGGACCAAGCCACCGGGAAATGTCCTGGCACTCCTGATGGCCAGTCCACCCCTGACCAGGACCATAACCTGGACTGGGCTCGTGGATGCCTCACCTGTCCGTCTTCAGGCCGTCTTCCCTTCCAGCAGTCTTCGGGCGCTCTCGGAGGCCCGTGCCAGCCCGTCGGCCATCAGCGCATCCTCCAGGCTCTTGCGGGCCTGGTACACCTTCCTCTCCTGCTCTCTGCGGCACACAAACGCACCGCAGGGTTAGAGATGCTTCGTGTTACATTCGCTGACCCTCGAAAATACAAATATCTTGGAGTTTCCTTTTATTTGTGCAAAAACTCATTGGTGGGTTCAGGTCTGATGAAAGCAAAGATCTTCAAAATTTATTTCTGATAATCTAAGATTATAGTCACATCAATAAATACTGAAAGTGTTGCAAAAGACTAGCAAAAGGGTAATTGTGGCTAAAAGATAACTAGTAGAAAATTAGAAGCTAAAAACACTAAAAAAGCTAACTAAAAGGTAAGAGAAGAAGAATGGTTGTTAAAAGGAGAGTAGAAGCCAAAAGTAACTAAAAGTAAAAACGGTTAGCTAAAAGCACCAAAAAGTTATCCAAAACAACAAATAGCAAAAGGCTAGCTAAATAAAGCAAAGGGACAGCTAAAAGTAGTAAAATATCAGCTACAAGTAGCAAAATGGTAGCCAAAAGTAGCAAAATTGTAGCTAAAACCTAAAAGTAACAAAAGGCATGCTAAAGGCTAATAGTAGAATAGTAGCTAAAAGTAGCAAAGCAGACTAAAAGTAGCAATATAGTAGCTAAAAGATAAAAGTATTTAAAAGTAGAAAACATTTAGCTAAAAGTCGCAAAAGGCCAGTTAACAGCATAAAGAAGTTAGCAGAAACAAAAAGTACCAAAAGGCTAGCAGAGGGTAGTAAAAAGTGAGATAAAAGTTACCTGTAGATGAATGGTAGCTAAAGGTAACAAAATAGCAGCTAAAATAGCTAAGTGGTAGTTATAACTAGCAAAAGGCAAGCTGAAGGCTAACTGTACGTAAATGATAGCTAAAAGTTGTAAAGCAGCAGCTAAAAGCTAGAATTTGTAAAATAGTAAGAAAAGCTACAAGTAGCTAAAATCTTATAAAAAAAAAAAGCAGAATAGTAGCTAAATGGTAAAATGGTAAATGGACTGTACTTATATAGCGCCTTTCTATCTTATTTCAAGATACTCAAAGCGCTTTACACTACAATCTGTGCCTCATTTACCCATTCATAGAGCACTCTACTACAAACCGGATTCCAAAAAAGATGGGACACTAAACAAATTGTGAATAAAAACCGAATGCAATGATGTGGAGATGGCAAATGTCAATATTTTATTCGTAATATAACATAGATGACAGATCAAAAGTTTAATCTGAGTAAATGTAACATTTTAAAGGAAAAATATGTTGATTCAAAATTTCACAGTGTCAACAAATCCCCCAAAAAGTTGGGACAAGTAGCAATAAGTGGCTGGAAAAACAAAATTGAGCATATAACGAACAGCTGGAAGACCAATTAACACTAATTAGGTCAATTGAGAACATGATTGGGTATAAAAAGAGCTTCTCAGAGTGTCAGTGTCTCTCAGAAGCCAAGATGGTAAGAGGATCACCAATTCCACCATTGTTGCGCAGAAAGATAGTGCAGCAATACAGAATGGTGTTACCCAAAGTAAAATAGCAAAGACTTTTAAGTTATCATCATCAACCGTGCATAACATCATCAAAAGATTCAGAGAATCTGGAACAATTACTGTGCGTAAGGGTCAAGGCTGTAAAACTCTACTGGATGCTCGTGATCTCCGGGCCCTTAAACGTCACTGCACCTCAAACAGGAATGCCACTGTCAAGGAAATAACAGAATGGGCTCAGGAATACTTCCAGAAAGCATTGTCAGTGAACACAATCCACCGAGCCATCCGCCGTTGCCAGCTGAAACTCTACAGTGCAAAGAGGAAGCCATTTCTAAGCAAGCTCCACAAGCTCAGACGTTTGCACTGGGCCAAGGGTCATTTAAAATGGAGTGTGGTAAAATGTAAGACTGTTCTGTGGTCAGATGAGTCACGATTTGAAGTTCGTTATGGAACACTGGGATGCCATGTCATCCGGACCAGAGAGGACAAGGACAGCCCAAGCTGTTATCAATGCTCCGTTCAGAAGCCTGCATCACTGATGGTATGGGGTTGCATGAGCGCTTGTGGCATGGGCAGCTTGCATGTCTGGAAAGGCACCATTAATGCAGAGAACTATGTTCAGGTTCTAGAACAACATATGCTCCCATCTAGACATCATCTCTTTCAGGGAAGACCCTGCATTTTTCAACACGATAATGCCAGACCACATTCTGCAGCAATCACAACATCATGGCTATGTAGGAGAAGGATCCGGGTACTGAAATGGCCAGCCTGCAGTCCAGATCTTTCACCTATAGAGAACATTTGGCGCATCATAAAGAGGAAGGTGCGACAAAGGCCCAAGACGATTGAACAGATAGAGGCCTGTATTAGACATGAATGGGAGAGCATTCCTATTTCTAAACTTCAGAAACTGGTCTACTCTATCCCCAGACGTCTGTTGAGTGTTGTAAGAAGAAGGGGGGATGCCACACAGTGGGAAAAATGGACTTGTCCCAACTTCTTTTGGATTTGCTGACGCCATGAAATTTGGAAACAACTGATTTTTCCCTTAAAATGATACATTCTCTCAGTTTAAACTTTTGATGTGTGATTTGTGTTCTATTCTGAATAAAATATTAGATGTTGGCACCTCCACATCATTGCATTCAGTTTTTATTCACAATTTGTTTAGTGTCCTAACTTTTTTGGAATCCGGTTTGTAGTTCTCTATAAAGCAAAATGCTAAACGTAGCATAAAAGAAGCAAAATGGAGTCAGGAGCTGAAGCTGATTTTAAAGAAAAAGTATTTGAAAAGATGAAGGTGCTCTCCGTGTATTGTTATAGGGAAATTTATTGTGTTCCTGTTCCTCCGTCCTGTTCCTCTCAAACCCAGCCGGTCAAAGCAGATGTCCTGAGCCTGCTTCTGCTAAAGAAGTGGTGTCCAAACATTTTCAGGTGTGGGCCAAAACGCAGAAAGAAAGGACACATGGGCCACAAAAATATGAATTTAACTCTCAACATGAGCAATATTTTGGAGAAAGGACAAAAGTTTACTCATTTGGGTGGAGAAAGAGTTTTAAATTGTTGTAGATCCAAAACATTAAAGCCTCATAAACAATAAACTTATACATCCATCCAGCCATTTTCCTCTGCTTAACTGGGGTCGGGTCATGGGGGTAGGAGCCTAAGTAGGGAGGCCCAGACTTCCCTTTCCCAGCCACTTGGGCCAGCTCCTCCTGGGGAATCCCAAGGCGTTCCCAGGCCAGCCGGGAAACATAGTTCCTCTAGCGTGTCCTGGGTCTCCTTCTGGTGGGACGTGCCCGGAAAACCTCACGAGGGAGGCATCCAGGAGGCATCCTAACCAGATGCCACCTTAACTGCCTCCTCTTGTGGCTCTACTCTGAGTCCCTCCCGGACGACCGAGCTTCTCAACCTATCTCTAAGGGAGAGCCCAGACACACTGCGGAGAAAATTCATTTTGGTCGCCTGTATCCGTGATATTATTATTTTTGTCACAACCCAAAGCTCGTGACCATAGATGAGGGTAGGAACGTAGTTCGACCAGTAAACTGAGAGCTTCGCCTTTTGACTCAGCTCTCTCTTCACCACGACAGACTGGTAAAGCGTCCGCTTCACTGCCAATGCTGCACCTATCCGCCTATCGATCTCCCGCTCCACTGTTCCATCATTCGTGAACAAGACCCCAAGATACTTAAACTCCTCCACTTGGGGCACCACATCCTCCCCGACCCGGATAGGGCACTCTACCCTTTTCCGATTTAAGACCATGGCCTCGGATTTGAAGGAACTGATCCTCATCCCGGCCGCATCACACTCGGCTGTGAACCGCTCCAGTGAAAGTTGTAGATCATGACCTGATGAAGTCAATAGGACCACATCATCTGCAAAAAACAGAGAAGCGATCCTAAAGCCACCAAAATGGATCCCCTAAACACCTTGTCTGTGCCTAGAAATTTTGTCCATAAAAGTTATGAACAAAATCGATGAAAAAGGGCAAACTTGGTGGAGTCCAACTCTCACCAGAAACGAGCCCGACTTGCTGCCGGCAATGCGGACCAAGCTCTGACACTGGTCATACAGGGACCTAATAGCCTGTAATAAAGGGCCTGGTACCCCATACTCCCGGAGTACCCCCACAGGGTTCCCTGAGGGATGCAGTCGAATGCCTTCTCCAAGTCCACAAAGCACATGTTGACTGGTTGGGCAAACTCCCATGCATCCTCCAGGACCCTACTGTGGGTGTAGAGCTGGTCCAATGTTCCACAACCAGAACGGAAACCACACTGCTCCTCTTGAATCTGAGGTTCGACTATCCGATGGACCCTCCTCTCAAGATCCCCTGAATAGACCTTACCAGGGAGGCTTAAGAGCGTGATCCCCCTGTAATTGGAACACACTACGGTCCCCCTTTTTGAATAGGGGCACCACGACTCCAGTCTGCCAATCCAGGGGAACTGCCCCCGATGTCCACGCAATATTGCAGAGTCATGTAAGCCAGCACAACCCCACAACATCCAGAGCCTTAAGGAACTCCGAGCAAATCTCATCCACCCCTGGGGCCCTGCCACCGAGGAACTTTTTAACCACCTCTGTGACCTCAGCACCAGAAATTGGAGAGCCCGAACCAAAGTCCCCAGGCTCTGCTTCCTCAGTGGAAGACGTGCCAGTGGGATTGAGGAGGTCTTCCAAGTATTATGCCCACCAACCCATGACATCCTGAGTTAAGGTCAGCAGCACACCACCTCTACTATAAACCATGTTGGTGGTGTACCGCTTTTTCCCCCTGAGACGCCGGATGGTGGACCAGAATCACCTAGAAGCCGTACGAAAGTCATTATCCATGGCCTCTCCGAACGTCTCCCATGCCCGAGTTTTTGCTGCATGCCGCTTGGACTGCCGGTACCCATCAGCTACTTCCGGGGTCCCACAGGCCAAAAAGACCTGATAGGACTCCTTCTTCAACCCGACAGCATCCCTTACCAACGGTGTCCACCACCGGGTTCAAGGGGTACTGCCGCGACAGGCACCGACAACTTTGTGGCCACAGCTCCGATAAG